ACACATCATTCACTTCTTCATCTGAAGCTTGCGTCCGCAGCATGGCAAGAAACCTAGAGGACGCAGTGTCTCGTTCCCTACTCAGGGAACCATGGTTACATAAGTAACCTGAGACGTTCCCTTTCATGGGAATTTCAAACTGCGTCCTCTAGGGGTCCCTATGGGGAATGGTATACCCACGCCACCATGCTGAGGGGAGTGCATGCCAGAACCATGGCGAGCACTAAGTACCAACTCTACCATATTGCTATGGGAGTTGCCCCTTGGACGTTAGACAGCTGTCAGTGACGTTATTCCCTACGGCCAAAGGTCTAGGCTACATACCCCAAAATACTTAACTGTTAGGTGCAGACTCCTGGGCCCGGGGTAGAGCTCAAGATCTGTGACATTTGAAAGCCTTACAAAGCTTTTTTCAAAGATGTGTTAAAACTGGACGGAGGTAAAGGGGTAGGTAAGTTATGTCACGTGACTTACATGGTGCACATGTAGTTTGATTTCGTTGTTAGACACTAGGTTAGGGATTTGTGCCACTTTCTGTATTTTTTGTTTTTGTTTTGTTTGGTTAGTTAGTGAAGTTGAGCTACTCGGACGTTGAAGATGTTTTCCTTTTCACATTTTTCTTTATTTTTGTTTAGGACTAAAAAGACAAATTCCCTCCAAATGAGCTAAGGACCAAAATGGGTTAGCTAGATTCCTTTTGGTTTCGTTACTTTTTTTCTTTTGGCACAATCCAGTTTCCCTTCAACCTCCCCAGTTGTCCAACATTATAAAAGCTGCTGGTGTGTCTAGGATTCTGTTGTAAATAACTGTTTCTTTTATTTTTATATACACACCGGTTCATTTTTTTTTTTGTCTTTGGTAAATAACTGTCACGGTCTTTAAATAAAACAAGTTTGCTTGATTTAGTCTCCAGTCGTAGTTACTTTCACTTACACACTGAGTGTGAAGCTGGCAATCCCCTTCTCAGTCCCTAGACCAGTGTTTCCCAACTTGTCTTTAGTCGTGGCACCCTTTGGAAATGTTAACAAATTTGTGGCACTCTACAAAATTAATTTTGTCACAGTATTTGAATTTCTAACTTCGATATGATACTTTGAAAAGTATAGATATTCGGTACAGCAGGGAAGAACTGCAGAATATAATGTCATACAGATATTTTTCATATTATAAAAAAAAATTGTCCATCAATGGTGGCAATCAGTAGGCTAATTTCTAATGAAGAGACCAATTTATATGACAGATTTTAATGTAGGCTTTTATTCATATGTAAACATTGTGAGATAGCTAGTTATAATGGTAATTAAACAAAGTTTTGCTCAGTGTATTTTTGATTTTACAGTTGGGTAATTTTGTTGCAGTAGCACGAGATAGCTTGATTTAAAACTTTGAATTGAATAAAAAATTACAAGGAGGTTAAGCAATTAATAATAAAATAAGAACAAATAAAGAAATTACTAATAACGATAAATTAAATAACGATAGGCCTACAAATGAAATAAATTGCTTTTTAGTTTT